AGAGTTACATTTCTTCAAAACTACAAAAATTTTATAGTTAAAGCTCTTTTAAAAAATATATTGCCTACTTATGGGCGCTGAAACCTTTGTTCCATAACCCATTTTCAAAGTAGACCTCTATTTCCATCAAAACTATATACATTTTTCTTAGAAACCATCTCAAGTGAGAGTCAATTATCGTAGACTCGTGGTACTGAGACGAAAAAAGTTGCCTGACCTGAAAACCTGAGAGGGCCTCTTCTGTACCGCGATCATCAAGATCATAATGATGTTGACAGGTGCTAATTGCTAGCCTAGGTCTACATACACTCGACCATAGGTCCATTGAACTCCGGACACACAATAAATTACTACAGTGACTACAAGTTAACCGAAGAACAAAACAAGGAACATGACGCGTTTTAATGGTCATGCAAATAATCCAACAAAAGAAGTCCAAATCAACCGGAAATCATCATCGGAAGAGGAAAGTGAGGGAAATTCGGGGAATCGAAATCGCAATCGCACGATCGGCAGTGACTTAATAATAGGGAACAGGACACGTCTCCTGGGAAGAAGGAGAATATTAAGCTTTAAAGTTTTGTCTTAAAAAGTACTTAGATTTAAGATATAACAGCATTTCAAAACCATTTCCTTTCAAAAAAATATATAATTGCTTTCTAAAATCGTAATGGTTAACACTCCCCATAAAAGAAGTGTCCTTTCAACCCACCTTAGACACAGACTCTGGCGGATATGAGACAGGAGATTAACTTGCCGCCCTGTCTAGCCCCAAAACCCCCGAAAAAAAAAATATTAAAAATTACATTAATTGCCAACCAGTACTGTACAGAGTGAGGTCCTGCTGGAGCAGTACAGACTGCCCAGGACATTGCACTGAGGAAAGGTGAGGTTGCGAGAGGCAAGAAGAGAGTTCGTGTTGCACTCGGGGGTTCGATGAGGTTTGACAGAGGGTCTCTGACTGACGTATTGCTCTTCTCTGTACATACATACATACATATATATATAGTAAGTAAGGAAAATAGTTTGCAGCTGTCGCTTTATGGCTTTGACTACTGCTGCCACACACACACACTGACACATACATATGCAAACAAACCTTCTTAGCGCATGCCACATTCAAGCAAAGGGGAGTTGGAAAGAAACGCTGCAAGGATCTTACAAAACATTCCTACAGATGGCAGACGTCGCAAAGGGGTCACAGCAGTCCTTACAGGATCCTAAAGGAACCAGTATCGTATAAGAACAGTCCGGGTAGAGGGATGTGTGAAAGATCTTAGCGGAAAAGTATCGATCAATTGGTATTACCACTTGTGGCTGTCTAGGATACTCCAACATCTGTTGTTTAGATTTCAGCTTTAAAGGATTAAAGGAGGGGGTCATTCTTTATTATTTTAATGGGTTTTTAAACCCTAAAAATTAATTCTTAGTCTTAAAGTTTCATTAGCAAGTACTAAGCTAAGGTGACTACCTGGACTACCTTTGCCACCGGTCCTACCGATCTGATCTGAAGTAATCTGGTCTGGTCTTGGTGTTGGACCCAAAAACCAAACCCCAGGCAGGGGCTACACCGGTTTTCAAATTTGGGATATATTGCCGGGTCGGGCTGGCTGGGTCGGGACCGGCGCACGTTTTCTTCGTTTCGTTCATTTCAGCTATTTTAAGTAACAATAACGAGGAGGAGCCGAGCGGGCCAAGGCGGCCAGGCGGCGACAAAAAGCCGCCTTTGCCTGTTGAGAAACCTTCGGGCCAAGTACCAAGTACATTCATAAGAGAAGCGGCGGCCTCAAATGTCCCAGGTTGAGATTCAGGTTCAGGTTGAGACTACACTGAGAGAAAAATCAGAGAATATATTTTATTCCTTATAAAAGGACACCCCTTTAGAATAATACATCTCTGAAAACAATATTCAACTATAACCTTAAGTTAACCCATTTTTCTTCCAGTGCATGTACCACATAGGTAGACGATCTCTACCTTCTCCTTCTCGGCAGCCATCTCTTTCGCTCCTAAAGCGCTGTGCTTTTGTTTTTCCCATTCAGAGAATTCCAGGAAATTTTTCGATCAGTAATCTTCAGCGCCTTTGTTGTTGCGTTTCCTATGAAGCAACAACTGAGCCCAGGACCAGACCGAGAAAGGACACTGGCCGAAACGCAGAGAGAGTGAGAGAGAGAGTGAGACAGACTGCAATTAGCCTGCGGGCGGAACTGTATGTGGGGAGGTGGGGGAGTAAGCTCCAAGTGCTCCAAGATCCTAAGCGTGGGAGCTTCCTTTCCCAAAAAAACCCCATACCATCCTTCTAAACGGAAGTGAGCCAAAAAACCAAATGAAATCAAATGTCCTGGCAGATGTCCCACAAAAAAATATCAAAGAAAAAAAAAAAAAAACAAAACAATAAAAGAAAAATAGTTGGAAAACAAGGTAGAAGAAGAGGGAGAGGTAGAGAATGTGGAAGCAAAAAGGTAGTTGAGGATTGAGAGGCACACGCACTTTACACCTGGTTGGTATTCCTCCTTGCGCAAAAGGAGCTCTAGGGCTATAGGGTATAAGCCCTATACCCTATATGAGCAAACGAGATGGCCTGAAGAAGCACCCTTAAAAAGAAAAAATAATAATAATCGTAGTGCCAAAGTAGCAGTAGCTCCAGTATCACCCTCCATAGTAACTGAAGTCTCCTCCGCTTCCATCTCAGCCATCTCGTCCTCCTTGCCAGCCGCCACTTCAGACAGTGGCTGTTGCTGGAATTTAGGAAAGTGGAACGAACCAGGGGTGCAACATGGGCGAGGGGTGGAGCAGGGTGAGGGAAGGAGCTAAAGGGGTACCTTGCAGCAAATGTACCACTTTTTATCCTTCCAGAAGGTCCTGTAAACCAATTACATATATCTTTCCTACAGAGGGTATGATAAATGTCTTAAAAAGTCTTATAATATTTTTGAAAAATTCTAAGAACTAAAACTAAGAATCTATATAGTCAATAAAATATTTTAGGAAAAAGCTATAGTTTAAAAAACTATAAGATACACATTCCACAGTATTTCCATATTCGCATCTCCTACTAGCATCTAGGTTTTAGAACAAATAATCTATATAAAATATTTATAATCTATCTATATTTATTGAAAAAATAAAATATAGTTTTTAAATCTTTAAGATACACATTCCACAGTATTTCCATCTTCGCATCTCCTTCTACTACCCTGCCATGTCTTTCATCATTTTTTTCTTTTGCAAATTTTTGGTAATACCCTCTTGGCCCTCTTTGTGTAATTGTTGCCGAAATGCAACAGTGTTTTTATTTATTTTTTTTTTCAGGCAAAAAGGACTCAAGGATCTAGTACTATTTGTATTTTTGTTGTTTTTCGGTTGAGTTTCCTGCAATTCCAACAGGAAACGGAAAGTGGTTGCTGCTGTTGCAGTTGAAGTTGCAGACATGCCACAGAATGAATACCAGACACAGTGGTTTTAAAAGGGAGCAGAATTGAAGATTTTTAGAATTTTCTAAAGGCTTCTTTACCTTGCAACCCTTGGAAGACCTTTTCCAAGCCACTGTGCTGCAAGGGCTGGTACTTTCAGAGGGAGCCCAAGCCCAAAGTCCACGGCAGTGCCATTGACATGTGCCGGTTCGAGTCGATGGCCCCTTTGAAAAGGGTGACCAGCAGCAACAGCACTACCGGGAAATTGGAGGGCACTGAGCCAATAATTAAACTAAACTAAAGCAACCCCTGGCCGGCCCGAATAGGGTGAACAATTTTTCAGTTTGCAAAAAAAAAAAAGTATAGCAGCAAGTAGGCAGCTGTCTCACCGAAGGGGGAGTACCCTTCCAAAAAGAACTGTTCTATTCTAGATCTCTAAACCAAACTACAAACATGACAAACTTTAAGGCAACTCTGATATACTCTTTCCGGCTCTTAAAACTAGAGCATTCGAGGGGCGAGGGTTGCTCGGTTACAACTAATCAGTCGGGTCCCCTTATCCAGAGGAATGTACATACATAGGCCCAGGCCGGAGGCCCAGAAACAGCTGTCACTATTATTTTTATTTCCCATTACCGGAGTAACTGCTCTTGTTTTTCTTTTGAGGTTCAGCAGAGGATGTGTCGCGCGTGTCAAGAAAATCTTGAAAAATCTTGGTAAACACATCCTGCGTCCCAAGATCAGGGGAAACTGTGCGAAATCAATACAGATTAGAGCGACCGGGAAAAGGCGACATATCAGCCGCCTACCTAAAAATAATAGTAAAGTAGGGTGGGCATTACTGATGCAATATGCAATTACATGCCTGGGATTGGAAAATCGTAAAATTCAGAGCGGGTTAAAAGGTGAGGATCACTGGGATAGCTACTGGGATAGGTAACTGTGTGTGAAAATCACTGGAGCGGAAGATTAAATCCCTCCCCGAAAAGCCGTGGGATTAATTAGCATTTCGGTTTTTGGTTTTCGGGACAACATGGTCCCTAACAACCCATAGTTCCGTGTCCGCTTTTCCATTTAAATGTATGTACATATGCATTTGGCGGACAGCGGACAGGGGTGTCAAGTGAATGTCAAACAAATATGTGAAACCCCCCCTCCACGAGTCGGAAAAATTCAAATTGATTCGTAAGCTTCGTTGGAAGATAACCAGTTCCTGTGAACCGTGTGACATTTGACGATCCTTGTTCGCTGGCGGACTTACAAGTTTTGTCTTTTGATGTCCGCCAGTTCCCTTCTAACTTGTTCTCTCGTTTGTTTGTGGTCCTTCCAAGTTGTTTGACTGTCGACTTGTCCGCCGGTTCAGTGGACTCGGGGTCGGGTGGGTTAACCCCTATCATGGGTTAAGTGCCGATCGAAAGTGAGGAAACTTTTTATTTGCATACAATTTAGCCTAAATAATTTGTTTACCCAGGACCAGGACATTTGTTAAGGGGAATTACACAAATCCGGATCTGAGATAAGCTCTATCATTGATAGATGATCTTTATAAGGAATATCCCCTTTTCTAATTGCATTTAAGGAACTTACCAGCAATATAACAAGTAAAAGCAGCAATCTGAAAAGAAAGAAGAGAATAAATTATTAGAACTTTTAATAATATGTTTGTAGAGGCATTCCAGTCTACCTCTTGGCCAAAGGCCCTAGCCTAAATCAACAAATGAAGGTCCAAAGCTGTCTACTCCGATTTGGAGCAGAAAACTTGGCTGGAATGGAAAGGTTCGCAGGCAAACACACAAATGAACAAATGAACAAACAACAAACATGGAGGAGAATGCCAACAAAGTTGTCAAATCAAACAGAAGAACAGAAAAGTTGAGGAGCAGTTGAACGCATCCCAGAGATCGGTTTGGATGCTTTTTGGTTTGTGGTGTTAAAAATATGAGAAACATTTATAAGAAGAGTTTTTCTCCAGCGAGGCAGCGAGGTCTGGCATTTAAAGAACTTTAGCGATTTATGCGTCTGTCAGTGGAGGCAGGCGAAACCTGATTTGCTGCTGACGACCAAGCCGACCAACCGAAAGACTAAGATCCCGACGAAAAGGGCCCCGAGAGTGTAGTGTATATAGTGTAGGTAGGAAATAAAAACCAGACACCGAAGGAGGAGTCCTCTCGACTTGGGACGCAAGCAATAGACGGCAGGAATCGAAGCCGGGAGACTGGATACTGGAGACTGGATACTAAGGAGGCTGCCGACCCTAGACTGGGGAGTTTCTCGCACCGACTCGGCTGCATTCCGCTGGCAACTTTGACTCCCAACTTCGGCCACATGTTGCACACACTGTGAGAATGAATTTAATTAAAGCAAATCCAGGGAAGAGACCAATGGAGCGCCACACAACCCGACCAGACAGCTGCCAGACCCCAAACCATAACCATATCGAGATCATACTAGTCCAAAGTCTAGTCCAAAAAGACCGTGGGACCAGCGAAAGGATATCGTTTAATATTTAAGGATTTTTGGAAAGAAAGAAAGTCCCTATATCTGAACTTTTTAATGGGTGTGTCTGAAAACAGAACCCCTAAAAACATATTCCATAATTAGAGGTAGTTTACTGTAGTGCATGGAATCAATGTGCAGCCGTAGTTTCCACGATATGCACCGCAACAATGCCAATTAAATCCCATTTCAGTGGCACATTAAAATGCAATAAAATATATTTCGTGTGTGTGAGCATGTGAGAGACGGGCTTTTTGCCATTGGAGCGTTGAAAATATTTCAGGCTCAGTTTTGTTTCCAGCCAGACGTTCATGTGTATGTTGGTATTCTCATGACTCCTTTGCTGCAAAAAAAAAAAATAATCATGAAATCCAACCAAAAATAAAATAAAAACTACGCGTAGAGAGATGTTCGAGTTGGCTGGACGATAAGCTCACAATGGACCCGGACATTTTCGAGTTGAACGAATTATATAGCCTCGCCGCCACATATTTAGCCTGAATTTCAGGCATAATTTGATGTAATTTCAGTTGCCGAAAGCCACGATCGTGGTAACCGCCGACTGACCACGAAATTATATTGCGGAATATTGATCAGTCTGGAGATCCCAAGGTTATCTCTCACTCCTTTCCATCTGCGTGACCGCCTCTCAGACTCTTCAATTTTAAACTTTAAACCCAAAAATATTATTTCTTTAAAATATATTTAGTTTTTAATTCCAAGCTCCAAAAGGATTATGGCTTATTGTGGAGAATCCTTATACATGTAGGTAGGCTTCGGCTTCCAATGTAAAGAATCTTTAGAAGCAATGCTCTGCCCCCACCCTTTCTCCCCACTTGGGAGAGTGTCAGTTTGTCAGGCTTAGCCGGGCCAGAAGCTCAGGCGATTAACTGTGGCTCGCGCGACTTGGCCAAATGGAGGGTGTCAACCACCAGCCACCCCACCCGCCATTCGGCAAACCGCAAAAGTGAAAAATTTGTGTTGCCTGTTTTTGTTGTGTTATCTTAACCCGTTTTTGGCCCCCCCAACCCTCGGGCCAGCTCGGGCCCGGCATTGCAATGAAATAAATGAAGTTAAGCCAATTTGAGGTTAAAGCCCAAAGAAGGAATTCATTATTTTTGTTGCTGTTGTTGCGGTTGCTTCTTGCCAGTTGCACTCGCAACGCGTGTCCTGCTTTTGGGGGGAAAAGGAATTCGTCGAGTCGAGAAAAACAAGACATAGGGTTTGGGAGTCCTGTGGGGAAGCGACTAGGGATATACACTCTGAAAGTGAAGAAATATTTGTAAAAAATACTATTTATTTAAACTAATTTAATATATTTATAAAATCATACCATTTCTGGTTCTTACGCCCAAGAAGATTCCTCAAATTTGTACCAAAATCCATATTAAGTATACGCACTGTGGCTTTTTAGCACTTACAGTATTCTTATCTTTGGCCACACTAATTAAGAAATTAATATTTTGGTTTTTCTGTAACCCTCTTACCCCCTGAAAGGGTATAAAAACCACAGAAATGCGACAAATGCAACAATAGCTGTAAAAAAAAAACACAAAAATACAACCAACCAGAAGAAGAGTCATGGCAAAAGCTGAAACCGCAATAAACTTGAGTGGAACCCCAAAAGAGAGATGAGAAAAAGATAACAGGCTGAGGGAGAAGAAGATAGCTTTAGCCAAAAGGGAGCAACTTTTAAGGTTAGGACTCTACCCGAAAAGCGCTAAAAAATATCCTTATCTAAGTCCTTTAATAGAATAGTATCAGTATTTTCTCAACACCAAGCAAATAGCACCAATAAATTGGTATTTAATAAAAAGCTAACCCATCGGGTAACCAGTTTCGTACGATAACATTCACCAGCTTGGAGAGGTGGTTGGGGCTTGTAGGCCTTTTGGCTCTTGGGCCGGCCAACTCGAAAAGGGCCCAACCATCACAAAAACGTAAACAACATCCCACAACAACAAAAACAAAAATAAAGGGTCTACAATAACAAACAGCATTCGAGACAAGAAATCCAGATTCAGATTCAGAGAAGCAGTATACGGAGGAGCATGGATCTTAACCAGGAAAGGAAGGGGGACCACCGCCAGCGGCGTCTGAAACCAAAACAAAACATTGCGAAAGAGGTTTAATTCACGAGGAACTAAAAAATTAAGTAGTTCTGGAGATGGTTTCGGTGTTGAGATACCTTTTAAAGAAATATTTTTAGAGTTAGGGCTTGAAATTAAATGAAATATTAATACATCTTTAATAAATTTATTTATTTTAGTTTTTGGATAAGAAAGAGGCTCCTAGAAAACCACATAACAGCACTACTTCTTATAGAAAGATTTCCCCAAAAAGTTGTGATTTTTTAAGCTTTTATTAGATGTGAGATGATAAAAGTTAATATATTTATAAATAAAATATTCATAATTTTATTAAGATATAATAGAGTATTTTAAGAGGTTATATATCTCAAAGGTTAAAGATTAAGATATCCCAAAAAAAACGTTGGCAATTATGCATTAAATCATAAGAAATAAATAAAGATATAAACAAATTCCTAATCTTTCAATAAAATTAAAGTATTCTATTGCAAGATAGAGGTTCCACAGTTCCTAAAGCCATATAATACCATAAACTAAATACGAAATAATAAATAGACTAACTTCTAAACATTTAAATAAATACTATTACTAAAAGCGTTTATGCAGTACTCACAAAACGTATTAAAAATGTATGTAAATTAAGCCTTGAATTTTTTTAAATTTGTGGTTATTATTTATCTCTCAAAAAAGCATAGTTTAAATCCCTGTTTCCTCTCAGTGTAAGAAGAAAAGAAGGAGCCGTAAATGCATGTCTGGGCCCTTACATATTCATCTTTCTCTCTTCCCCACTGGACATCCTTGGCTCCCTCGTTTGCACACACATCGAGAATTCCATTGAAATCGTTTGAAAATTGAGCCCAATACAGGACCCCAAACGCAGGGGGGCTTATAGGCGGGGAGGGGGAGAGGCTAAGGGGCCAGACGCGTCTGCCGCTTCTCTCGTAATAAATAAACAGCGGCAGAGCAGCAACAACAACCAAAACAACAACGCCGACTGATGATGACGTTGCATCGTTTAGTGCACTGAGAGAAAAATATATATAATTATTAAAATTGTTTGAAAGTATTTAAAGAAAAAAATTATATAATTTGCATAGGTGGTTTTAATATTTTTAAGATAATAAATATTTTATCCAAAATCACGATATTAAAGTATCTATGTGGCATGCCCCATCTACTGCCACTTGTATATACAAATGTAGCCATAAAATGTGTAAAAATAACAAAGCATATGAGTTGCATTTTCGACGGACCAAAGGAAATGGTTGAACATTACGAGCTGAGGCACAAAAAAAAAACATCGTAAGGAGGAAGAAAGGAGTCAGAAGTGGGGACAGGCAAAACGGTTGCAAAGTGGTGGGGGCAAGAAATACTGCATCACCCGCATAATAAACCAGAGCGCATAAAAATGTGTGTAATATTGCAACCGCAACGTATTTCGCCTGTAATTGCCACCAGACTGCCCGAGGGGGGTAGGGGGGGAGAGAGGGCTAAAGGGGAGAGGGCATCTGAAAATGGGGGAAGTAGGTGGCGACAACAAAGTTGCACTCACGCAGCTCCAGACTCTGAATCGGAATCAGACACAGTCTTCCAGACCCCACCAGACGTTGCAAAAAGTGATCCAGAGGGGGGATGACATAGAGGAGGGGCCGTGGCAGGGGGAGGGGCTGGGGACAGAGCAAGAAGTAAGCCGGCAGATGAAACGACCAGACAGTAAGCCCGCAAGCCAACAGCCACAACAGCAACATCAGATGCAACAACAACAAAACATCCGGCAAGAGCGACAAAAAACAACAACTAGGAATTCGAATGTAATCCAAGGGATATATCCACTAAACCCAACATATACTGTGGGTTAAGGTACATAATAAATATATTTTAATTTAATTTAGAAAAATATTGAAAAATTAAAAAAGTTCTGCCTGAATTATCCTATAAAATCAGTTAGAGTTTAGTCAGTTCCTCTCAAGTTCCTTCTCAGTTCAACAACCCCTAAATGTAGGCTATAGTTTTTGAAATTACTGATTTA